ACTTTTATAATATAAGCTGCTACTTGCTTAAAAAAAAAAAAAAAAAAAAAAGAAAGGTAATTTGAGACCACCTCTGGAGGTGATCTCAAAAAAGGGTCCTTCGGGGACATTCGTTAAAATTGGAACGATACAGAGAAGATTAGCATGGCCCCTGCACAAGGATGGCACACATAAATCGAGAAATGGTCCAAATTAAAAAAAAAAGAAAAAAAGGGTCCTCCCGCGGGCCCGCAGGCTGCTGACAAACGGGTCACCGTTTGAGGCATTTGGGTAGCGGGCCTCTCCAGTGTGACCCGAAACTGACTCTAATTTTGGGATTTAGGGTCTTTTGGTCCTTGTGTGAGTATGCCCTGAGTTCCCTATGAGACATGGGCGCAGCAAAGACAGCCTGGATAGCATTTTGTACGCCCAGACTCCTCCAGGCTCGCCGTCCAAAACGGCGGAGGGTCCGGAGGGTCAGTGGGACGTCGCTGCACTTACTGTCCATTATCGGCGTGCAAAATGGATTGGAAATTTGTCAGAAACGTCTTGGAATATCGACTGTCCATTTTTGTATAGATCCCAGCCTGCACAAGTACTTTCGTGAATGGTCCTCGTAGGAACCCACGGGCCCGCCGCCTTTTCGGACAGCGAGCCTGGAGGAGTCTGGGCGTACAAAATGGTATCGAGGCTGTCTTGTAGTGCTGCGCCCGTGTCACGTAGGGAACTGACAAATTCGGGTGTTGTAGAGTGTACAGCAAGTGGAGCAATGCCGCGTTTCCACGATTTCTGTACGCTACCATAGCTGTCCACAAACTATCCACAATTTTTGTACAGTGGACAGTAATGGAGCGAGACCCAAATACTAAGAGACTCGCCACACCACTCTTGAAAACTCTTTTTCACGAGTTGCTGCATCGCCACACAGCCTCTTGACACTTGGGGCAGTCAAGAGCTGTCAGAGTGGCAGCCTCTTGAAACCTTTTTTCAAGAGGGTCTCTTGAAAAATTGGAAACCCCAGCCTGCAACTCGTGTGTTTCCAAGCGTCCTTGGCAGAACCCTTGAGGGACTACCGACTTTCAAGAGTCGTCAGGCCGTTATCCTGACGCCATGTGAAAAAAACAAAGCTGTATGACTGTCGTTTTTCATCCTGTGTCCAACGGCATCGCCCTTTCGAGAGTGCTGTGTGGCGAAGGGCCGAAAACTCTTGAAAACCCAACTCTTGAGAACGTCTGACAGCTCTTGTCAATGACATATTTCCCCATTTCAAGAGTCGTGTGGCGAGGACCATGCTTCAGAAGAGCTTCCGAAGGGGTCCCTGTTAACCGCTTATGTTCCCCGTCCTACTGGTAGTTTATTCCGGAGAAAAAACACGTTTCAGACGAGCCCCCGAGGAAGTGTCATAGATCCTAAAGTATAGATGAGAATTCTTTTTTTTTTTTTTGGGATAGATGAAAATTCTCAGTGTTAGGGCATCGCCACACCACTCTTAAAATGTGCAAAACGAGAATGAACTTCCCGCTAGAACATGGCCTGGCCAGCTGCAGCCGCCACATTTTTGTCTTTTTCACATTCAATCACAACATCTGCAGCCGCCACATTTTTGTCTTTTTCACATTCAATCACAACATCTGACATCGCGTATCGGAAACTTCGGATTGCGCTTTTCCCTGGTCCTTGTTATGTTCGGTGATCTCTCTTTGATGATTCAGGGAAAGGAGGAAGGATGGTATGATGGTGTAGCAATATCTTTTGCAGTTCTGCTTGTTGTTATTACTACATGTAAGTGATTCAGAATCCCTCTTGTCATTCTTTCTTCCCAAGTTCCCTTTATATATATATATATATATAAAGAAAGCTGCATTTTTATTATGTAATGATATTATAATCCGAAAACGAGGCCGGGAGCGAGATCCCACTAGCCATATATTATGTGGATTAGGGTCTCGCTCCACTATAATTGTCCACTGTACAAAAATGGACAGTTCGACTTCGCTCCACTTACTGTCCACTGTCCGTCCGCTGTACAATATTTCCCTCTGACAACTGTCCACCAACTGTCCGAAAAATTGTACAGTGGACAGTAGTGGAGCGAGACCCTTCGTGTGAAGGGTGTGGGACAGGTGGGTGGCAGCGTGAAATAGGGAAAGCAAATGCAAAAAAACATTTCATGACCAAACAAATGAAGAAAAAACTGCTAAAAAAGAAAAGAAAGTGCTCTTCTCACAGATGGTGTCTTCTCCAGGCGGGGTGTCAGATGTCAGGGTGCCTGTTCAGTTGTTCTGACAGAAATTCTTTTTGGCAAAGGAGGGCAAGAGTAACTCCATAAAAAAAAAAAAAAAAAAGAGTAACTCCATACACCATTTGCTGTAGGTGAGGGGATCAAACCCTCCCAAACACCTCCCAAACCACAATCAATTTCCAGCTATGAATCCATTCTTCTTTGCCTTCGCTGTGAGTGAACGTGTGTAATTTCACGAACCGAAAAACTTGGTTGTGATTTCACGCACTTTTGGGACAGCCACAGGACCGCCACAACAAAAACAAAAGAAACACCTACCAATGGGAGTCTCAGAGCAAAAGAAAACATAATTTTCCCCAGCTTAATTCACAAAAACAGGCTACCGCTGATTTCCTGCCAAATCCACGATGCCTGACAGTCACACACCTTAAACACTAATCCACATACATCGGTAGTGGGATCTTGCTCTGAGGCCGAGGTCCCACTAGAAAAGAGGATAGGATCAAGTTCCTGAATCTGGATGTGATTTATGCAGAGATGCAGAAAAGCAGTTCAATCTCAATTTCCTGCACCTCTCCGCAAACACGTCCAGATTCAGGCATTCGATCGGAAATCCTCTTCGCTAGTGAAACCAGGGCCCGGGAGTTCCATCTCAACCCAGACAGTTGAGTTAGGAAGGCGTGTGAGGGAAAGCAGACGAGACCCGTCATCCATCCCAGGCCTCTTTTCATTCAATTTGGTGTCTGGGCCCCTCCTCAGAAAACCCCCCTGCATTCACTGCATTTGCCCCTATAGAGACCGCTTCCCATTTGCCCCCCTTTTTAAAAGCTTAGGCATTGTTATGTAGAATGCGAATCCTTCTGTTCTTAGCCTTTTGTTTTTAACAATGACCAAAAAAAAAAATTAAAAAAAAAATGGTGCGGCAGTTGAAACTGGACCCTCAGCCCATTTGCGTGGAGGTCTAGTTCCCTGCACATCGATGGAGCGTCAGAGGCAAAGCAACGAAGGGGCAGTTTCAACACCACAGGATTTAAAAAAAAAAAAAAAAAAAGAGGATTCTCTCTCCTGGGGTTTCAGCCTGCTCATACCAACCTGAGGGCGTACTGACACTACTACCACTATCTCAGATGTATCTGACCGCATTTACTGCCAGACTTGTACGCATCTGGCCGCAATTCCGTCCAGAAATAAGTACGATTCAAAGTGCTTAGCCCAGTGTGAGTATGCCCTGTCAGTGAGTGTTTCCAAGAAAAGGAGAAGAAGAAAAAGGAAAATAAGTTTACGAGGGAAGTCGATGGAGAAATGTCGTCCCTAAGGCCGGTCAGCGTAAGCAGAAAGAAGACCGTTTGAAACAAGCAATCCGGGATGCAGAAGCCAGACTGGGGCAGGACCCATATGGGGACCTCTATTGGGCCAGGGTACGTAAGGACTTTTTGGTCCAGCTGGAGGTGTTAGAAACGCAACGTCAGACCCAATGGCTGGAATGGCTGAAGGTGAGGGACCTGAAAGGCCAGGATCGCATGACCAAACTCACATTTCGTTCTCTCCTGATTCAGGTCACCAAACCCCTATTAAGGGAACTTCTTCACCCCTTCTCTCCTGATAGGCCCTCAGCATTTACCACTTCTTCCATGTGTGACTATGCTGCGGAATATTTTTCAGACATTTTAACATCGGTCCGTCCAGCGGACGCTTTTGACTCCGACCTCTCTGTGTCCTCTACATTTTGGGACCGCACTCAGATTACAATTTCTATGCAGGTGGGACCGCACTCAGATTACAATTTCTATGCAGGGCAGTGCCGATCTACCAATTTGACATTGTATCTCAGGGGACGCTGGACCCGTTTTCCAGCAGATAATAAATTTAATAATAAAAAAAAATAAAAAAAAAAGACTGGACCTGGACAGACCTTTCACCAAGGAGGAGCTATGCCAAGCTGTCAAGGCAATGCCTACTGGTAAATGTCCAGGGATCGATGGCCTCCCGGTAGAGTTGTACTCAGATACCTGGGAGGTCATGGGTCCGCTTCTGTCTGAGATTTATAACACCGCAGCCTGTGAAGGAAGTCTTCCTAAGGGCTTATCAGTAGGCGTTATTTCCTTATTATACAAGAAGGGTTCTAAAACAGAAATCCGCAATTGGCGCCCCATCTCCCTACTTAATGTAGCTTAAAAGATCCTCGCCAAAGCCCTGGCCATCAGACTGGCACGATATCTCCCAGCCCTGATAGGCCCAGAACAAGGAGCGTTCGTAAAGGGGAGATCAATTTTCGAAAACATTTTGGCAACAATTCAGGCTCTTGAAGTGATAAGTTCTGAAAAAAAAGAATTAGCCATATTACTCCTCGATCTGGAAAAAGCCTATGATAAAGTAGCCTGGGCATTTGTAGCCACGACTCTGTCTCATATGGGCTTTCGTCCTGTCTTCTGTAAAGTGGTCAGAGCAATGTACTCTTGGGCCTCAGCAAAAGTTAATGTAAATGGCCTCCTATCTCGACCCTTTGATTTATCCCGCTCTCTTCGCCAAGGCTGTCCCCTAGCCCCTCTTCTGTTTGTGCTCCAGTTGGATGTTGTGCTAGACAATATAAGGCACAATGAACAGATAAAGGGTTTGCGTTTGACACCCTCTTTCCATTGGAAAGGGGGTGCCATCGCAGATGACCTTACGGTCGCCTGCGAGAACACGGTAGAATCCACGCCGGAATTGCGAGCGGTTTTGGACAATTATTGTGAACTATCTGAGGCGTCGATCAACTGGTCTAAATCGGTAGCTCTGTTACGTGATACATTTGTCTTCAAAGGGGATTGGGGCATGAAGTCACTCCCACCGGCTGCATCCGAAAGGCTCCTGGGGGTCCAAGTGTCCATGAGCAACTGTGCCCAGACACAAAACAACCTACTGGGAAACAAAGTATTAGGCAAGCCTTAGGTCGGTAAGTGGGAGAGTTCCTCTCTCCCTGCTGGGTCGGGCCTTGGTTGTGTCGGCTGCTGCCTTTTCTACGTTGTGGTTCATCCTAGCTGTACATTTGTTGGGCGACAAGGCATATACCCTGGTTCGTCGTTGTGCAGCAAGGTTCTTGTGGAAGCCAGAGGCCTCTGAAGACCAGGGCTTTATGTCTAAGGTGGCCTGGGACACCATAGCCACCCCCAAACTGATGGGGGGACTCGGGATTCTGGACCCAAAGCAACAAAACCTTGCCTTATTGGCCAAATGGCCGATCCTAGCAATGCTGGCTACTTCTCAAAAGGCTTGGATCAGATTTGCAGAGTATCTGCTTGGCACAGACTGGAAACTAGTTAATCACGAGGATATTTGGCTCTGTCTCTGCCTCCCGTCCTTTTCTCAGCATCGGCCACAGTCAGTACTGTGGCGACAGATCCTGTATGCTTGGAACAAGTTACGCCCTCCCCCTGTTAGGGAGCCGGTTACTCGATCGGAGATCCTCAATCAATTGCTTTTTGACAACCCTCGGATTCTGCAACAAAATGTCGAGGTTTTCTCGGTTGCTCCATCTTCAAGAAACTTGGTAAGACTTGGTGTATAAACGGTGTGCTTCGCCTCAGTGACCTGTGGAATGAGACTGGGAATTGTTGGCTCTCGGTGGACTCACTTCGAGCGAAATTGCCTAGGGCTTCGCCTCAGGGACCTGTGAAATTGCCTAGGGCTTCGCCTCCTGTGTCTCCAACCAAACAGGCATCCAGCAAAGGATACATGGTTTTCTTCCCCCTTTTGTTCATCCGAATTCTGGTGTGTGATTGGTCCCCCTTCACAGGAGGGCACGAAGGTACAAGTCTGGAAGCGTAGTCGGAACGCTAAGACAGAGGACCTCCTCAGCTTTATAGGTGAAGAAGTGGTGACTCTGGATGATGATCTACAAGAAGTGAGGGTTTGGATTACTGTGGGCCCCAGCGGTAAGGAAACTTGCTCCGGTGGGTGTCCAGCTTCATCCTTCAAAATAAATCCGTATAATTGGGGTTGGTCGGATCTAGTCAAGCCACGGGACTTCACCCCACTAAGTCAGTATTCCATGAAAGTTGGGAGGGCCATCCAATTAAAGAAAATCCAAAAAACGCCAGTAGATCTGGCTGTCAGAAGATGGAAAGAACACCCAGCAGATCAGGTTTCGGAAGCCCAGTTACGGAAATTTTGCAACCAACTTCAGAAACTTCCAGACCAGAAGGCAGCAAGTTTATTATGGTTACAGTCTATGCAGCCTAATGCAGGTGGTCCCCTCTGCAGAATGGTTGTCCTCCAGAGGTATGCCTGTCTCTATGCAATGCAGCTGTTGCACGTGGGCCTGGGAGACCTCATCTCATATGTGGGTGGACTGCCTTTTTTCTCAGGCTCGATCGATGGAGGAAACACTGGGCCAATCTTGGGGGCCTCTGTAGTCCCCTGGTCTGATTCGTGGATCCGGTCAGTGACAGGTTGTTCAGATACTCGTTCCTCACGCAACTTGGGCTGGGGTTATATAGCCCAAGTTTGCAGAGGGGTTATCATGAGGATTCTTTGGCAGAGCCGCAATGAGAAGCTCTTT